CTTTAAAAAGATTTACTGAACTCTGATTTACCACATTACTAGGAAGGGAGTTCCAATCGTCAGTAACTCGAACAACGAATGCCTTTTTCCTAACATTAAGTTTAAATTTCTGTTTATACAATTTATATACATGGCCTCTGGTTATAGAATATAGAAGGCCTAGGCCTAGTAGTAAATACAATTATAGAGTCGCTGTAGGTATAGGCCTATCTAGGCCTATTTTCTGTGGATAGGGCCTGAAGTAGATACCTCTTCTGAAAAGAAATTTCAAATTGAATTCATACAATCGCATCTTTTAATTTTATAGATTTGTTCAAAACCAAACTGGAAAAAAATTGACATTTGTCATTTGGGGTCATTCAAGTATTATGTAACACAGAGGATGTTGGCGGGGCGGGTATAGTGGAAAATGTTACAGTGTGTGACATGGGGGGGGGGTGTTGCTTGAAGTGTTACATAACAAAATTAATTTTCATGGGAAGAGAAGAAATATTAAATATTCAAACTTGTATGATATTGCTAATGAAACATATTACATCAGTGTAATACAATGTACTGTAATGTAACACAGTTGTGTTGAATTTGTGAAATCAATATACAATGAAGTTACATCTACCATATCAAAAAATAACAAAACATCCTACAAATTTGTAGTGTAGGACATTTATCCTGATACTTAATGTTGTTCATCTGATTTTATTAAAATTGTTGATGTTCGGAAAGGGGGGTGAGGAGTGGTGGTTCTAGAGTTACGTAACATTTAGAGGGGGGTTTGGAAAAGTGTTACAGAGTGTTATGGGGGGGGGGGGTGTCAATATTTGCCAAAAAATGTGTTACAATACTTGAATTACCCCTTTTAGCAAATTAGCCCACTAATTAGTAATACATAATTATGGTAATTGGCATGTGTACAACAGTAACCATAAAGATGCAGATGTAGTATCAATATTTGCATTAAAATATTTGCAATTCTCTTTCAATTACCAGGGGTCTCCTGGAACCTGCGGGAGTCTCCCGGAAATCGGGACAGCCTCCCACACTTCTGCAAGCATGTATAAGAATCTCTACAAATTCATAATTACCTCCACCAAAGAAGTTTGCAGGAGGTTACGTTTTCGCCTAGTTTTTTATTTAGCTATTTATTTGTCTGTCGGCATACTTGTTGTGAACAGCCTACAGCCCATGTTTTTTATCAGAAATTCATCGAACTTGGCCACAATGTTCCTTTACCTAAGATCAAGAGCTGATTAAATTTTGAAGGGTCAGGGTCATAGGTCAAGGCCACAATCAACAAAAAACTATTTATTTATTTGTCTACAGCCCATAGTTTTGATCACAAACTTGTCAAACTTGGTCACAATGTTCCATGAACAAAGATCTCATTACCTCCACCAACGAAGTTTGGCAAGAGGTTATGTTTTTTCCCCTGTTTATTTATTTATTTATTTATTTATTTGTCGACATATTTCTTGTGAACAGTCTGCAGGCCATAGTTTTCATCAGAAATTCGTTCAACTTGGCCACAATGTTCCTTTACCTAAGATCTAGAGCTGATTAAATTTTGAAGCATCAGGGTCAAAGGTCAAGGTTACAATCAACGAAAAACTATTTTTTTTATTTATTTGTCTACAGCCCAAAGTTTTAATTAATCACAAACTTAGTCACAATGTTCCATCACCGAAGATCAGAAATTTGTCAAACTTGGCCACATTGTTCCTCCAAAGATCTGGAAGTAGCTAAATTTTGAAGGGTCAGAGTCAAAGGTCAAGGACACAATGATAGAAAACCTTGTGTAACTGTTTTTTGTATAGACATGTGTGATGTGTGCTAATACGGGCTTGCTGGTAAAGTGTAAACAAATGTATGACCATTAATTTCAAATTAATACTGTATGTGAAAACAGCTCCAACCAGGGTGGGGCTGATGTGGCCTAGACCATCCATTTACAAAATCCCCAAATTTTAAGAAGGCATGTTATTGGTTTATCTACTGCTGTACATAAAACAAGTTTTATGTACAGTATAGTAGACCTACAGAACTTGGGCTGTTCATAAAATACCAAATAAATGAAGCAATATGTATGTATGATAATTTATATCTCTCAAAATTTAATTTAAGAGCTCTGATTTTAAAGAAATAGCGATACAGAGTAGTTTTACATCATGATACCATGTGATACTACTCCGTTGCTATCGGCGACAAAATACGTTCCATTTTCTCCGCTGACAAACCATTGATCCCAATTTCTAACGTATTTAGTAAGATGTTGTATCTTAGTTTTTCTTTGTAAATTTTAATTGATGATTAAATGTGTGTTCGATAACTAAATATAATGCGAGCTTTTGTGTTTTTAGTACATTTTGATGGTAAATTATTTGTTTTTAAGATGTCTATTCCAGAAAACCTATTCTAAACCATTAAGATTATGAAGTCATTCAGGCATACTGAACGGTAACCAGCGTCGGGTTGAGAACAAAGAGCGCCACCTGGTGTTGTGACAACATGACTGTTGTACAGTACTCTATATAAGTGTTGCTTTATTAATAAATATTATTAACCTTTTTCAGTACTTTTATTTATATTTATTATACTATTGGAAGACCTTAACTGTGCAAGCTCAGTTTTTTTTTGTTTTTTTTTATCTAGGCCTGCTACCTGCTATTCTATTGTATAATGTTTGTTTTTGTATTTAAACTACTGTGAATTATTATGTGTACTCAAGTGAATAAACCTTTGAATATTGAATTAACTGAGAGCTAGGCCTGAGCCCTAGAACATCAACAATGTAATATAAGTAGACCTACAGTAGATTGTTGTTCTATAAATTTAAAAAAAGTAATATTTTTGGCGATTTTTTTTCCTTTCTTTTTGAGATTTTTAAGAACTAAATTATATTAAACAAGGTTTCTGTGGGACTTTGTCTGTCCGATGGGAATTTAAGTCCTGCTCAGCACCCCTCTCCCTTAAAATACCATCCATCTTTAGCTTTTGTGGCTGCTGCCCCTCGGGGGGTGGGGTGGGTGGGCAGTAGAGACTAGGTCATAGTCTGTCAGTTAATTCTAGAATGATATTTATTGGAACTTCTCTTTTAAAACAGGCACACGTTAGACAAAATGGTGTGTCCACTAATCACAAGGACATAGAAAATGTTCAGTAAAACATAAAATTACTAAAATGTTATATATAAAACGAGTAAAACAACAGTGAAGTTATTGTTTAAAAATATTTATAACAAACTGTAACATATTTCTAAAACACTAAGATTCTCTTTGGATGACTTAAAATTATTTAAACTTATCTACTTGCCTGGTGGTATTAAACATTTTTGTTTGTTTTTACATGTAGGTAGTTCTTTAACAGAAGTTGTCAAATCGAATTTCAATTTTATCTTCCATAAAATGATGAGAATAATAACTTGTATTGACGAGCATTAACGAAAGCTTTGAACTGATGTTTCCTGGCCGTCGATTTATCAATCTCAGCTTAGCAAATATCTTAAGTCAAAAAAGTTAAGATGTCCCTTCAAATATCCTAAGCTGATTTATCAAACCATTTTAGCAAAATCTAAGTTAAAAAATCGTCTTAGATGACGCATGCGTACAGTAGACTTTTTAATTTTAAGCCATTTTTCAGCTAACGCAATATTGATAAATCTGACTTAAGCAAAAAAAAATGAACGTAAGACGAATTTAAGCTGATTGCTAGTTTGATAAATCTGCCCCCTGATATAAAACATGCCCAAATATCATCCATAATTTCATTCATAAATCTAGTAGAGGTCATGGAAGAATGATGGGGTGAGTCATGAGCTACTGTAAAGATAAAAATGAAAAGCAAGTCTACGGAATATAATGCCATACCTGTACTAGATGATGTACCTGTCCCACAGTAAGTTATCAATTGAATTAACAACAACATTAAAAAAATCACTACAGCAGCTAAAGAAGGCAGTAGACACACGCTCCCACTGGGAGCCTATTTTCTACTGTATGCTGTACGGTAGCTATTGTACAACCCTGCTGAGTATGTTTTATGCACTTGAGGCATTGATCACTAAGCAACTATAAAAAAAAATTGTACATTACACTACTACTATATATTGCCCATATTTTAATAACAAAGGATTCAAGTTCAACATCTCTAGGATGTTAGTTATAATTATATTCATACTTAAATGGGAAATGTTGCATGTAGAATTTATTATAATGTTAAAAAAGTGGCCTGAGGGTCTGCAGAGTCCAGTAGCCAATTTTTACTAGGTTTGATGTATTGGTGGGTGGCAAGAGCAAGCTTTTCATCGAACAACAGTAATGAGCCATGAAAATGATGCACGAAATGTGTTGTACTTGTAAATTACGACATCCATTATGTAACATTAATGTCAACGATTTTTATTTGAAAGCTGCTGTACACTTATGAGGTACTTGTAAGGTAAACAATTCAAATAATGAATTTTATTTTATTGATCAAGTATTACAGTAGGTAAATGTATGAGAAAACCCATAATTCGCTTATTGTGTTGTTATGATAAATTTGTGTATGGTACAAGCATAGTCTGGCTATTATTAGACTGTAGCCGACGTAGAGGCACTTTACTACAGTTAATGGTTAATGGTTTTAAATTTATAATGCGCAAAACACAAAAAGTGTATGCGCTGTAAAAACAAGTGTAGAGATGATTGGAAATGTGAGAGAATAAAAAACATAAATATGAAAGTTCAAGCCAACGAGCACCCATACCGTATTATGCGGATACGCCCTGTATATCCCCACTTTCAAATTGTATGATTGTGACAAATAACTGTGATATGCCTATATTTGGGAATAATATGACATCATGGTCATATATGGGCACATCACAAACATTTGTCACATAAATTTGTTACTGTAATAGTGTGGACAGAACTTACATAGTCCTACAAACATGTGTTCACATTCGCCAGTGATACAAGATCTTTAAAGCATAGTGTATATAAGCGAAATTTATACACTGGACTATCAGCTTTAAGTTTTTATCAGAGAAATCTTGTTCCACTTCCAAAGCAATGGTCAAGCATGCCGCTTGAACAACCACTTCCTCAGCCAATTCGGCTGACCGTAAAATTTGGCAAATAAAATGTTAGCTTAAGTGTTTTATATGAATCAGCAAGTGCACTCAGAATGGAAGTAAATTGTTTTACTGTGGAGATTATCTAGGTAACTATGTTAATTACTGTAAATGTCAGAGTGGACTATCGGTATTAACATGAATAAAATCCAGCTACTCTATTAGCTTTCTAATGAATGATTGCAAGTGATTTATCCTGATTTAGTTTCGTTTTACTAAGCTATTTCACCACCACTCACCAAGTACTAGACATACGAGGAATTATTTTATCTATTTATTCTAAATACAAAAAAGTGTACAAATTTGACTTGAACTGAATTTCCCTATCCCCTACTGAACTCCTGTCTCTTATACACATCTAGATGTGTATAAGAGACAGGCGTAATACAGATTTTACTATCCCCAGCATATTTGTGCACTTGTGAGAAGAATGTTGATGGTTGTGAGCCACCCCTTACAAACATACATACAGTGCTGTGTACTGTAGTCGTATTGATATGTTTGTGTTCAGTATATCTGCATAAAAGTGTACAGTTACTCCGTTCCTTCCCATCTTTTTCCTTAGTTAATTTTCATTGGTATTGTTTAAGTGATTTAAAAAAAAATTATATTTCAATATTGTATCTAAGCCTACAGTTTAGCCTAGCCTACAGTATGTATACCTGCCTATTTTGTCAGTGCTTAGTGTAGATGTTTGCTTCTTAATTTGTTTTTTATTGTTTACTTTACTTGTAAATCAAGCTGTTGAACGCACCACTCTTCAAATGTTTACGTTCGCAAAGTAAATATAAATATAAATATATTCACAGATAAAAGTACTCATGTTCTGATCAGTCAATTTATTGGCTGAACATACAATTAGTTCGTAAGCAGATCTGTTGTCTCACTGATCCATTAACACTGCATACAATTTATGATAGATCATTATTGCACTCAGCCTTGCAAATAGAAACATTATTATTAGGAATTTTCACTAAAATTATGAGGGTACTGTATGTGTGAACATACAGTACTGCATTCAGTTGGTCTACTTGCTTGTGAGTCTTGTGGGAAGCTACATTTTGTAGCGTGCAGTAAGTAACATGTGTCGTTTAAAGCCCTCACAGCAGTGTTAACAATTCAGTAGAGTCTATTCATTTTATGGTTTTACCATAAGTAAATATAATAGAATAATGAATAATGCAAAGGCAAACAATTATCCATGAACAGAATACTGTTCGACAAATAAAGAGATTAAGCTCTGTCCAGACACAAATTTTATTGGACAAATGCTTGTGACATGCCTAAATATAGTCATGATGACATCACGTCATGACCATATATGGGCATACAACAGTTGATAGTGTTGACAGAAGTTTAGAACATTACTGTGTTTGTGATTAAGATACTCAACCATAAGGACAATGAACATAAATGGGTATCTAGTTCTGTGGCAGTACCAGGGTTGATTAAATGGGGGATAGGCAGGAGCAAAGAAAATGTTTGGGGAGAGGGGTGTTGGAGAGGAAGAGGCAAAGTAACTTCGTATCATTTAGGGGAGGTTCTGTGAGGTGTGTCACCCTCCCAATCATCAGAAGTCAAGGTGGCATGTCTATTGCATTTCAATAATTTGACATCATTTTTCATTCTTTAAAATAAAGTATTGTAAAAATATACAAATTACACTTATTTTGTTCCCTTTGATTTCCCTTTTTCCATCCCTTGCCAGCTAGCTTTTTTGTAGTTCATTCAGGATAGGAGGCGCCTGAGTCCTGGGATGGCCGAGACTCAACTGGTGAGGACAGGGTACATTCTGATAGATCCCTGCTCAGCGACGAGGGTTTATCCCCATACTGCGGTTTGGGTGCTGGCTTGGGTTTTCTTTTTTTTTTCTATTTTCTAGTTACATCTGCTCACTTGATCTGCGCATAGAGACTCGTATTTTGCGCAATATAAATGAATTACCTTTAATCTTTAACATCAGTTTTACGATTCTTAATCAAGGTTTTGTCTTAATCTAATTCATACAAAAAATAAAATCAGAATTAGGAATTTGTTTAAGATTGAGTGTAACCAAAATTAGATAAAGTAAGAAGATATGCTTATTGTTATTAACGTACAACCATATTTATGCATAAAAATCATTTGTCTTTGTGCAAAAAGCATTACACATATAGAGTAATATTTTTATTTTTTTAAATTTTATTCAGGTATAAAAAAGCAGAACAAGTCTGAAATTATATTACAGAATATAAAAATACATAGAATGAAAAATATCAGAAAAAAAACAAAAAACAAAATTAATATATAAAAATATAACATAAAACTTATTTACAGATCATATGAAACACATCTTTATATACATCATGTACATACTTAATTATTTATCTAAGTGTTGAAATTTTTAACTACATAATGGAACAATTTCCTGCATCAGTTTGTATTGTATTTTAGTGGGCAGTCTCCCTGAATTGTTTATTGCTTACTTTATTTAGAAACATCATGTTCGTAGTCTTAAACGATTGATAACCTTGGTGTACAGTACTTCACGTTTTACAATTTTTTTTTTACATTGCGGGCACTGCAGGCACCGTGGACAGCTTTAAGTCGGTAATGTTCTTTTCTAAAATCTTGACTGAGGCACTATGGGCTGGCTTTGCCGGTGCAGGAAGTAAGTGGATGTAGAACACAAAGCCAGCTGGCAAAGTGCAGCCAAAAAGTGCACTGCCTGTAATCAGTAGGTGTACTGTATACTACTAATGATGAAGGGTTTCTATGCAAGTTTAATATCTTGTGATTTATCCAAAATTTATCTAAATATATACATGCAATACCATGTGAAAAACGTTTTCTCTATTGGAAAATCTAACGGAATAAAATACCAGCTTTTGGCTAAGCATACTAAGCTGGTAGTGCAGGCGGATGGTATACCATAATCTGAGGGTCTACAAATCTTCATTGTAAAGTATTATATAATAATAAACATATTTTTCTAATAAACTGCTAAACATTCTATTAATTATTATTATTGACTATTCTCAACAGAGAAGTTGATATGAATGACATACAATATATGTGTACAGTAGTACAAGTTATGTCAATAATAATATCAGTAACCAGTGACTGTTGATGTTAGAATTTGGAGGGTCTTAAGCACTGTCCACAATATAATGTTCTATTTGACAAAAAAACTGTTGTAATGCCCATATATAGTCATGATGTGCCTATATATGGTCAATGGTATGATGTCATGACCATATTTAGGCATGTCACATTTTGTCAAATATAATTTATAAGTCTAGAGCAGTCATTAAATTCAAACCCTGATGCCAGAGACAATAATATTATAATAAACATATTTTGCTGTAAACTATTTAACATACTGCTGTTATTAGTACTGACTATCCCAATATAGAACACATGGTCAGAACTTACAACATGCTGTTATATAACAAACCATTTATTTTGGTAGCAACATTATGTTAATGTCATTACCCACTGGCTGTTAATGTAGTTTGTTTATTCGAATAGTGTACAATGTTGAAATAAAATTATACAATTACCGTATGTATTTAACTGTAAACTGCATATGTACGAATCTAAAAAAAAAATTGACATTTCAAATTCCATCAACTAACCACATCACTTTACAATATAAATTATAATCCTCGTAAATGTCATCTCTGGATCATTTGCGAAATTATTGAAAAATTATCAGTTTTTCTAATAAATATAGTGTTACATTTCCCCAAGGATAACACAAAAAAGGGATATGTCTATATTTATAGAATTCTCTTAGAATATTGTTATTATTTTATTGTTATTAGTATTTTTGTTGTTGTCATTGGCATAAGTTTTATTACACGCTAAGTCAGTGGTGACGTCATCACTTTCACTTGAACTGAATTTCCCTATCCCCTACTGAACTCTATAGTGAATCAGATTTTTTGCGTGTGCGAAAAGCTCAAAGCTGGGGTGATTTTACCATAATTCATCACGATGGAATATATTTTTGCTTGGCCAAGCTATGAATGCACACAGCAAACCTAACAAATCTCGCTATATCGCGCTGGTTAACACGAATGAAGCCTAGCCCGTCCTAGGCAAGGCCTAGAAAGGCATACTGTAATGGTTATGAGATAACAAGTTGATGGACTTACTGTATAAAAGAACTGAAAAAGTAAGGCAACACTGAGCTGAAATAATTCATAATAATGTTTACGATACAGTTTAATCTATGTAACAAATGTCTACAAGGAGGTTAGGTCTACTTAATAAACTTCATTTACCACAATCAATCAATTTATTCATCTTGTTTGTATCACGAAGAGCTCTGTGCGAAGAG